CGCCTTGTAGACGAGCCTTAAGGGTGCGTTTTCACCTGACGCTACGACGCTGGATTTCAACATCAAAACGTAATAACATTGGCTGTGTTCAGTAGAAAAAGCAGCTTTGCAACTGTTGTAAAATTCTTGAATATGATTGGTTTATACATTTAAATCCAATGAAGAACTAAGGGCAAGACCAATCATATTGAAGAATTTTATACAGTTGCAAAGCTGTTTTCTCTGCTGAACGCAGCCAATGGGAGGGTTGACCCAGCGATTAGAAAGTGGCCTCAGTTGGATGTCTGGAGGCTTTGACCGAGTCACTCGACACTATTCGCGAATAAAATCGCTTGAATGGACTGATCATAGTGATCTGGTTGCGGATCGGCAGAGTTTCGGCTGGTTAGATAGATTTCGACTGTCTGTTCGTGAAGGGCCTCCTTTTCATATTCGCCAGTTAATAGTGCCGCGTGCAGGCCTAACGTATATATGTTATTGGTCTAATCTAGAATTAGGATTAAAGGTATTGGTTGTGGGATACTGGGATATGTGTCTAAAACAACTTTCGTCATCGACCATTTGTCGAATGTTCAATAGTTTAGAGCCACATATATCATTTATTACAGACAACTGCTGTTTCAGTTCTAATCCTTAATCTATTTACTTCTGTTCCTCGGGACAAAATTCTTCTATTCAACACTTGGTTCAAATATTTAATCCAATAACTTTGTCCCGAGTGGATTATTAGTCTAAAAAGGCGAACGTTATTCAGCTCGTAGCTATTGTAACTTCTTATGGTAGATACAGATGGTCTACCGGTATTACTTATTAATAACCCTTATGGTGATGACGAAAATTTTAATCGAAGAAAAGAACTGTGGAATCTGAACGTAACACTCAATAACACTCGAATTTTCTTTAAAATTGTGATTTCAGTGTATTGTCAAAGTTTGATTATCAACAGAGATGATAACGAACCATGAAGAGGAAAAATTGTAATTTTTCGGCAATATATAGAATATTACAGCTTTATAAGAGGGTAATCCCGATTGACCACAGCTCGATTGCACACCACCAATCACAGCGACCGGTGCTTAGGAGCTTGTAGTCTCAAGCGCTGTAAGTGGCTCGTGTCCAACTGGGTGCCACCCCTTTATAAGTATACATATTTATTTATGAAGCATTTTTATAATAAAAAATCGTAAATATAATAACGTATTAGCCAAATATTTATGTTAATAATAGTAAATTTATATCATTTGCCAATAATGTCAGGTTAGAATCTTCGATTACTCCGGGATCTTTGGAGAAGCTAAAAAAATAAATAAAATTATTTAGGAAATTACAAAAACATATATAAAACAATGTAATGTTATAATATAGCCATTTCCAGTATTCTTACACTTCCTTTACACTTCAATTAATACTTTATTGACGTTCGCTTTACGTTTTATTTTCTTCAGGGGCAAAAAATTGTTTTAAAACATACAGCCCTTCTGCAATAAGTCGCAAGTCAGAAGTTCTAAGCTATTTTGAGTCATAATCGGTAAAGTTGGCCAATAGCTAACTTGAACGATTTGGTTAAGACCGGTTAAGATTTCTGATGTTCTGACTTGCGGCTTATTGTAGAAGGGCTGTTAGGGGATGCTAAAGCAAAGCTCGAACTCCGACGAAATCATTAGATGTCGCACCGCGCGCCGATATGTCTTTTTATACTACCACAGTAATATCTCACGCAGATGCACTATGATACACGCAGTCACACATACAATTTTTGTACAACGAATTTTGTACAACGAATCGCGATAAAGCGTCTAAATCTAATTCTAAGAACTCGACGTTGTATGTTCGTGCAAATTACGTGTTTGAGAACTATTATTTCGTACGTTTGGGTTGCAAAGCTTTCATATCAAGCAAATGTTGTCACGACTTGACAACTGAGACGCCATGTTACACTAAGAAATGATAAAAAATATATCGATTTCGAAATTTTTCATCATTCTCAGCGTAGACTCCACTTCACAAACACGTATTAATGCGTATACTTTAATCCTGGAAAAGGATTTTCGAATCCGTGAAAGAGAAAGAGTATTCGTTATACAAAAATTATACATGTTTAGTTGGTAATACAGATGTCTTTAGGATCTTATTAAGAAACTCTGTAATTTGACGACCTTATTCAACAAACATTAATAGGAATCGATTTTTATGTGTATCGAAATAATAGATTTATCAGTATATTTACCTTTTTATCTTGTTGTGCAATTTCTGTAAAACATCCTCGCATTTCTGCAGCGTCTCGATCGTCAAACTATTTCATCAATAATATTTTAATTAATAATCGAAAGCTGTAGCAACAGTTTTAATATATTACTTTTTACTAATGAATCCTTACGCTCGGGTATATAATTTAACAAGAGAACTAACTACCTCCTTCCAATTTTAATAAGCTTTGGATATGTTAAAATGTAGACAAAAATAAAAGATACGTTTTTTATACGTGTGCTGAGTCGCACGTTAAAAGAGTAAAAATTTCCTTCAAAATATCAGTTTTTTTAGAGTAAATATCGTCGAAATTATGACAGATAGAAAAAAATGTTTTAAATAAAAGTTGAATGGTTTCAAGAGTATTTTATAATTAAACAATATTATAAGAGTACTTTATAATTAAACAATACATTTTCTATTTTTTTAAATAAGATAAGAGATATGTTTTTTCTTTATATGCATTGAGTCGCATGTTAAAGAGGTAAAAATCTCTCTTGAAAAAAATTAGTTTTTTCTTTCAGAGTAGGTATCATTGAAACTATACTATTGTTTGTTTTGCCTCTCGGGAACTGCTCGGGGTCGCTCCGAATAAACCTAGCGTACTTGAAATGTAAGATTCACACCATGTACGACATCCATCATACGACGTCCGACATTTATCGTAACAATGACTGCGTTGGTTTATACATTTAGATCCAATGAGGAACTAAGGGCAAGACCAATCATATTAAAGAATTTTACAACAATTGCAAAGCTGCTTTCTCTGCTGAACGCAATCAATGAATGTCAGATGTCATATGATGGATATCGTACGTAGTGTGTGAATTTCTATAGCTGCCCACATACTACTTATAAGAGAAAAAAAAATGTTTTAAATAAAACTTGTATGGTTTCAAGAGAATACTATATAATAATTATAAAAAATTTATTTAAATAAAAAAATTTTTTTAATTTTTTGAAGTTATCTTATTTAAACAAAATGTTTTATGATCATTATAAAATATTTGTAAAACCAAACTTCTATTTAAAACATTTTTTCTATCTCGTATAGTTTCAACGATATTTACTCTAAGAGAAAAAAAACCGATTTTTTTTCAAGATTTTCATTTCCTTAACGTGCAATTTAGCACGTACAAAAAACGTATCTCTTATTTTTATCTATATTTTAACATCCAAAGCTTATTAAAATCGGAAGTCAGTTGATTCTGTGTTCCTTTATAAGTCATCTAATATGAATTTCCATTCAACATACTTTCGCCTGCCGTTTGTTAGAATTCTGTGCAGAAACTTCAGTTTCCGCAGTTGCATTTCCCTTTTTCGACTGTTCCTGTCTTCACATAAGCTCAATCTCTCCATCATCGCTTCCAGGACTGGAATGTACTTTTGCATCTTTGCGAACCTTTTGTCGAATTCGTCCATCATCCATTCATCCATCATTTTCCTTGCTTTCGATATATCTGTGTTCAGATAAAGAAATACGTCGCTTTTTTATAACAGTGTACAATTACCGTTGTATTTTTTTATTCGTCTGTATATCCGTTAGACGGAATCAATTGAATACTCGCTTTCCCGAAATTCCTCTTTTTATTTCTATTCATGATGTAAGAATACAAGGTGTTTCATATTGCATGATGGTTGGTGGGGTAGAACTCGGAATAGCTAATCAAAATTTAGCCTCAAATATAGCGCGATTGTACAACGCAATAGGTGCATTCGTTTGACTATAGAAACCTGAACTGCTAGTCCTCTTGAAATAAGCGTAATGAACATCCCACATCATAATAGCTCCGTCTTTTGCCCAAAACGCGGGAAATTCGAATGTCAATATCGGAGAACAAGTAGATTCGTGTTTAATTAAAGACATATTATATTTTATATTACCCCGAATTTTATAATTTATTGTAAGAAGAGAATATAATGGTATATAAAACATAACATTATAAATATTAAATAAATATTATAATAAAAAATACTGTTATATTAATGTTATATATTGATATTTATACTTTAAAAATAGTACAAGAAAATGATTTTACCAAATTTAAAAATTAAATACAAACAAGAAAAAATTAGAAACCTAAGAAACATGTACATTAAAATCTAACATTAAAATGTAATATAAATGTAAATGTAATGTTATAAATATTAAATAGATATTATAATAAACAATATTATCATATTTACCATTATACTGACATTTAAAAATAATATGAGAAAATGATTTTGCTGATATATTAAAAAATTCAGATCAGAAAAAATAATTTTATTGGACAATCAAAATAATTATGTAGGATTCTCAAGTATAATAATCAATGCTGCAAAAATTTTGATATTCTACAAGTAGCTTAATTTAAGCGTTCTACATAATTATTTTGATAGTTCAAGAGAATTAAAATTAAAGATTACTTTTGTTATCACAGATTTATATGTCTTTAAATGTCTTATTTGTCTTTATATGTCTTATTTGTCTTTATATATGTCTATTTATACTATATCTTTATATGTCAGATTTATATGTTTTTATATCTATTTTTATATCTATTTTATATCTATTTTATGTTTTTATATCTATTTTATATATCTTTTAATTTCATAAAATTAATATTGTGCACACGAATGACAAAAACTTAGGCTGTCGGTTGTTCGAATCGTGTGAATTCATGATCAATATTTTAGTTCTTGGATAAGGAGTATAGTGACACTGTTTCTCTCTCTATGTTCATTACGAGCAAATTTTAGTTGGAATGAAAATGTGACGTTTACCCCGTTGAAAGTAGAGCACGTAAAATAAATCCATATGAATCAAGTACAGGACATCTATCATGGAAAAAAGTCGGAATTATTTTATTATTTCCTAGATTTCTATTGTGTTTTCTAGGGAAAACAGAATAATTCCGATCAGAATTCATTCCGACATGTTCCATGATAGGTACCCAGGTCACATATCCACATATGACTCTATATCGAATGTTCGTGAACTCTAATATAGTTATAAGATGATTGCTGATGAAGATTCCAAAGAGAATCGAAACGTTCAAAAATTCAAATAAAGATGATTCCAACACATCGTATGGATTAACAAATTTACTTTGTTGAAAATTTATTATGCACCTTCGCTCGCGTCGACTCTTATTAGCTCAATTGTAGGTTATATTTGTGATATCCACATATTCTATTCAGACTTTATTTAGATATTACTAACAGGCGAACAAAATATTTAGATATGTACGATAATAACGCGTTCTGAAGAAATTTATATCAAAATTAATCGACAATCAGTCGTAGGTACTTTACCCGAAATAATTTCAATCAAATTATCCTCGCTGCAAATTATTACGCAGTATCGAAGAAATGAAGAGACAGAAATCAATGGTCTGTTTTCTGTTCCTGCACTAGAGAAGACACCATGGAGAAGACTATTCTAGAACTCTCTTTCTCCCTTTAAACAGATATCAAATGTATCTACCTCACTTTAAGTTCCAAAAGTGTACACTAGTTCAGCCACAGAAAACAAAGCTCAAATGTAAAGGCTGGTGTGTAAGTTCGATATTATATCTCAGAGCTCTGATTGGACAGCTCGTTATTTCCTGGGGCTCTATTCTTGAAAAGAAACGTATACGAAAGTCTAGGGAAATACTATAGTATACGTAACGTATACTGTAGCATTTCCCTAGATTTTCGTATACGTTTCTTTTCAAGAATAGAGCCCCTGTTGCCTATGCCCAAAGACATAGGCCTAGTTTACACCGAGGGTTCGATCCGAGTCGGAATGTAAGAACCAACCAACTGTAGTCGAGCATTCCTTTGTCATTTGACTGGGATGTCATTCGATGGGGACATCAGAGCTTTGGGATATAATATCGAACTTATACTCCAAAGCTCTGATTGGACGGCTCGTTATTCCCTGTTGCCTGTGCCTATTGCCTGTGTCTATTGTGTTTCCAGCTTTACAGGGAAATGCTCAACTACAGTTGGTTGATTCTTGCATTTTGACCCGGATCGAACCGTCGGTGTAAACTAGGCCATAAAGAATAGACTGCGCGATCCGTATCTACTGGGCCATGGTCCGATTCATGCTAACAACGCTCATGAGTATCTTTCGTCTTCGTTTAACATTTGACAAGCAACAAGGATGAAATGATTTTTAAGCGTTGTAAGCGTGAATCGGACCGCGGCCATGATGTAATAAAGAAGGTGTGTTCTAGCGTAACCATTTGCTTCAGCCAATGAATGGAGG